TTTTTGCTGATTTGTTTGAATTCCTTGCAGATTCTGAATACTAGTCCTTTCTTAGATGTGTAGTTTGCAAATATTTTCTCCCATTCTGTGAGTTGTCTGTTTACTCTGGATGATTATTTCTTTTGCTGTGCAGAAATTTTTTAGTTTAATTAAGCCTCATTTATTTATTTTGGTTTTTGTTGCATTTGGTTTTGAGGTTTAAGTAATAAATTCTTCTTCCCACTTCATTCCTCAAGCCAGTTTCCTCTTCCTCAAAATACTGCTGCTTTATGTGAATCTCTCAATGTTTTTTATGCATTCACAAAAACACCTATATTCTTTTTTCCCCTTAATAACAAATATGTACGCCAAACATACTGCTCGTGTTCTTGCTTTTCTTCAGTGAAGTATTTGAATAGCTTCCAAATTCATTTTCCTGACTGCAATCTTGTACTTTCCAATCCATTCTTCATGTGGCTGTTGGGCTGATCATTCTAAAATACAGATCTGATCATGCTTAAAAACTTACAGTGTCTCCCTCTTAACTACAGGATCAAGTTCAACTCCCTAGCATGGCACAATATTCAACATCTTTCATAATCTAGCTCTAACCTACCCTTTTTTCAGGGATTTGCCTTACCATTCCTCACTACAAATCCCAAACCCCAAGGAAAATGGATTCTGAATACACCAAATGCTTTCTTTGTCTGTGATTATCTGCTGCCTGGAACTTCTTTTCACTTCTCCATCTGGTTAGTTTTTTTTCTATCTATCTTTCAAGATCCAGCTATATGATACATCCTTTTGGAAGCCTGCCCTCACTTGTCTCAAGTAGAACTACCAGGGACTATGCTCCCCTACTAGGACTAATCAATTTTCTCTTCCACTATGCCCACAGAGTCCTTCCTTCAAGTCTATAATACACTACATGTCATGATGTACCATGTTACTATTTGTACTAGGCAGTAGTGAATAAATGAAAGATCATGCCTTATGGCCAACCCAATCCCTTCCCCAAAGAATCCTAACTTCAAATAATGGAATTCCAAAAAGAATACCAAAAGTCAGGCTTGCAAAGAATTTTACCAGTCCACTAAAATGAATTTATTGGTTTGCCTTCATTCCAGATGGTCCTTGAAATCAACATCTTGTATTATTCACACAGCACACCAACAGCTGCAGAGAGGATTGTATCCTTCTTCCAGCAAGCCCCAGCAGGCTATCAGACTCCTTCAAAGAACACCTACTTATCCCTGGGCATACACCAATGAAAACCTCACAGTCTCATATCCTGGTGAGCAAAGTGAAGCTCCATAGGTTTATTTATGGAGAGCCAACAATCGGTTA